CGTGAAGTCGGAGCTGCAGAGGAGACACACGTGCACAGACCTGGGTGAACTGACAAGCTATCTTGGCTTGCGGATCACCCGAGACAGAGCACGGCGCACCATCACCTTGACTCAGTCACACATGGTGCAGCAGATCCTTCAGCGCTTCCGCTTCACGTACTCCTCGCCTCAGTCCACTCCTCTGCCTACCGGTCACTCGCTCTCAGCTCTGCCTTCGGATGAGTCCGTAGAGCCGAGTGGCCCGTATCCAGAGCTTGTGGGCTGCCTCATGTACCTGATGACCTGCACTTGACCTGACCTTGCATACCCTCTTAGCATCCTAGCACGCTATGTCGCTCCTGGCCGTCACAGGAAGGAGCACATGGATGCCGCTAAGAGGGTGTTGCGCTACTTGTGTAGTACGTCGGGCATGGGGCTAGTGCTTGGAGGGCGAGACCGAGTTGTACTTACTGGACACTCAGACGCTTCTTGGGCGGACGACCAGGCTACTCAGCGGTCGTCTCAGGGTTACACCTTCAGCCTTGGCTCTGGCTCAGTTTCTTGGCGTTCTACACGCTCTTCTTCTGTTCTCAGCTCCAGTTGTGAGGCTGAGATCTACGCCACAGCCATGGCTGCCCAGGAGCTACGCTGGCTGACCTACCTGCTGACCGACTTGGGTGAGCGGCCTCGTTCTCCTCCAGTGCTGTACGTCGACAACCAGGCTGCCATTGCCTTGTGTGAGGAGCACAGACTGGAGCACAGAACGAAGCACATCGCCCTGCGGTACTTCCTTGCTCGAGAGCTGCAGCAGCGCGGTCAGCTTTGTCTGCGTTACGTGGCCACTGAGGCCAACCTTGCTGATGTGTTCACCAAGGCGCTTCCGCCTTGTGACCATCAGCGCTTCTGCACTCTGCTAGGCCTTGTGCCTACTGGACCTCACTTACTTACCTCTTGACCTTGCTTGTACTGTGATCACTATATATATATATACCTGCATGCTTACTCTTGCTAGGTTGTGATCACTGTATCTCTTGCTCTGTTATAAACCTGCATGTGAACTGGTCTTGTGACCCCTAGGTCTCCCCCACTTTGCCTATGGGGGTGTGTCAAACATTGTATATGTTATATTTGTGTAGGCTGTAGTGGGTTAGCCTATAGGGGGGTCACAACATTAGGGTTTCATATTTGTACTCACAATCCTTTCTAGTTCACCATTCCAGTCTGTTGTTTCGACACAACTGATTCCCACGAAGGGACTATCGACGGTCTATCACTGTCATCTTTCTCCGTTAACCGCAGCTTCGACTAAAACTGAAATTGTAGCCACTAAGCACAGAGCCACGGCCCATGACTTAATATACTGGCCCCGTCACGGGCGATCTGGACACGAGCTTGTCAAACAGCGAGCAGCGTCAATGTGTTGGCCCAGAGGGTGACGGAAGCAGGTGGGTGGGGCACAAGGGTGGTTGGGGTGGGTTGCAAGACTGGAGGGATTACTGTACCCTATCAGGCTATATTGGACGGTGTATGTGTAGCCACCCGAGCATAAACCCATTCACCGCTCGATATCAGCCGCTTAATGGTGGAAGTACCTCTTGGCTGGTGCTTGTGTTGCGTGGGGAATCGTTTGAGATGCATCGGCCAATCACGGTTGCTAACGCATCGATCACTACGCATGGTATGACGATTTTAGGACCACAAGTGCGAATATAACCTGATCCCTGCAAAGTACAGTGCTGTCGCGAACGCGCAGCGTTGCACATAGGTGTTAAATAAAATTCAAAAATACAACAACAAAAAACATCAACAACTTTGTTCCTAATGGTATAGTATGGGGTTGCAGCCGGTAGTGGGTTTGTCTCAAGTCACACACACAAATTGCCTCCAGAAGGGTTTGTTGTGACGGCAGTACAGCGCACTTGTAGGCTTTGCCACACCGGGTACTCGCCAGCATGCGATATTCTAACGCGACGATTAATAGTAACAAACGATAAACAGTTGTGGTACGGTGTTGGATTGTCATCCAACCGTGCAAGGACATTCAAGTAGGTGCTTAGGAGGAGTGGTATGAAGCACAGGCCCAACGCACAAGCGGCGATGCGTTATCGACAGCAGTGTCTAGACAGTGCGACGTTGCATCGTTCGGGCCTTGAGTGTTGCGCGACATGGTGAATCCGTTGTGGTATGGTGTTGGATTGTCATCCAACCTTGCAAGGACATTCAAGTAGGTGCTTAGGAGGAGTGGTATGAAGCACAGGCCCAACGCACAAGCGGCGATGCATTATCGACAGCAGTGTCTAGAGAGTGCGACGTTGCATCGTTCGGGCCTTGAGTGTTGCGCGACATGGTGAATCCGTTGTGGTACGGTGTTGGATTGTCACCCAACCTTGCAAGGACATTCAAGTAGGTGCTTAGAAGGAGTGGTATGAAGTACAGACCCAACGCACAAGCAGTGATGCGTTATCGACATAGCTGTTCCGACGGGGCGACGTTGCAGCGTGCACGGCCAGGGCTTGCGCGACATGGTGAAACCGTTGTGTAATGGTGTTGGATGGGGCTCAATTCTTGCGTGGACTGTTGACAAGGTGCATGGAGGGTGTGGTATGCAGCACAGGCCCAACTCACAAGCAGCGATGCGTTATCGACATAAGTGTCTAGACAGTGCGACGTTGCAGCGTTCGGGCCTTGAGTGTTGCGCGACATGGTGAATCCGTTGTGGTACGGTGTTGGATTGTTATCCAAACTTGCAAGGACATTTATGTAGGTGCTTAGAAGGAGTGGTATGAAGCACAGGCCCAACGCACAAGCGGCGATGCGTTATCGACAGCGGTGTCTAGAGAGTGCGACGTTGCAGCGTTTGGGCCTTGAGTGTTGCGCGGCATGGTGAATCCGTTGCGGTACGGTGTTGGATTGTCATCCAACCTTGCACGGACATTCAACAAGGTGCTTAGAAGGAGTGGTATGAAGCACCGGCCCAATGCACAAGCGGCGATGCGTTATCATTAGGGCACGGAGTTCTTGTCCGTATGTTTCTAGACCACACTAGAGATCTTGGACGTTTTTTAAACTTTCACGTTGTCAAGTAGGGGTGGATCTTGAGCAGGCCTTTTCATATGATTGTATTTTTGTTATCAACAAAGACTTGAGTGTCTAGATAACATGTAATTGTACAATGTAATCTCCTGCTTTGTATTAAGGCTCTAGACATGCGCACCACTTTGAGCTCACTAACGTGACCGCGATTTCCCCCCTACAACGATTCGTGACTGAATCACAGATCCAAACGGATCTCTTCCCGCTCTTCCTCATCCCTCTCGACTCTCACGCACCCAAGTTCTTGAATCAACTGGCACGTCCTTCTCACCGTGCACGCGATGCAGATATACGACCCACCGTCTTAAGATCCAGCGCATTCTCCTCAGCTCACGACGTGGTCTGTCTAAACGGGGGCGACACGCCTTGTAGGGAAGACGATCCGTGCCGTGAGCTGTCTGTATCGTGCCTTGTCACGACCACGCGGCTCGAACATCGTTAGCCAGTCCCAAACATGAGCGGCCCGCTCAAGTGCCAGTCGTACAGTGATACAAGCTGCCTTGGACAGTGCGCGGTTTGGAGATGACCGTGTTGCAGCCACAGCCTTCTTGAACGGTGTATTTAATGCGTTCACAAGCTTCCCACGACGCTCGTTGCTTCACAGGCTATTTCTCGACACTTAGACGGATCCATAACACATGGGCTCTTTGTCAGGCATCGTTTGCGAGTTCTGCAACAGATGGTTCCCCAACGCCCAAGTTTATGGCGGTCATAAGTCACGGCGGACCCCTTGTCAAGGGCTTTCCGCCGTGGCAAGGCCCTTGCGATATGCACCGTCCGCCGGTCTACACGCTCTGCTATTCGTCCACGACATTCTGTCGGATGCTCCAGCCGCTCCCGCTTCACCTACAGCGTCTAACACATCCAACGCCGTCGGTGAGAGCGGTCCTCCAAGCGTGCCTGAAGCTCGCGTTGACGAAACTCCCACGGCTGTGAACGAGGGGGCTCCTGAAGATGAACATCAACATCAACGTGGAACACCTGCCTCTGACACGAGTGGCCATCCTGAGAGCCGCCCCGAAGGTAGTAATGCCGCGCCGCCGACAATCAGCTCCGGACAGAGCAATGCCACGCCCCTCAATCCGCTCGCGTTGAAGCTGCTGCATTTCGTTCGGCGCGTGAATGGCGGAATGGGAATGGCCGAGGTTGACATCAACGGCCTGCTTCAGCTCGTGGTAGAGCCCGGCCTTGCGCCTCTTGTGACCTCGGAGCTCCGGAACTGTAAGGATCTGGAGCGGTTCGAGTTGGAGCGCTTGGCAGGGCTCAATCGCGGATGGTCGGTGGCGACCTTCGAGATTGCCGGTCATCCACCACAGCGCCTGCTCCTCCAAAACTCTGCCGAGGTAAGCCGACTTTGAATTCTGGGCTGTGAAATGCTGATGTGGCAGACGGGATTAGCGTGTATTGTATTAACCGTACACCCACTTTCTCCGCCACTAACCATGCCCATCCTCTCCCCTGCCTTTGCCACCGTACACCAGGCATTCGCTGAAATGTTTGGGCATCCCAACAACGCACCCGGCTTCAAGCTCAAGGCACGTGTTGATGAGGACCCTGACACGGGCGACCGTCGCTATACCACGCCCGGAACTGGAACGTGGTGGAATGATGCTCAGGTAAGGAAATACCTCGTTGCCACACCAATCCCAATCCTTGCTCATGCCTCCATCGATGCACTGATGTGTCTGGAACATCTTGAGTGTTTGACCGTGTGTCCGTTGCCGCTTTGTCGTGCATTGCAGGAACACTTCGGATGGTCCGAAGTTGTGGGGGGGATCATCCTGTATTCGGATGTGACGCACATGAGCAACAACGGCCGGAAGAAGGCGTGGCCGCTCATGATGACGCTTGCCAACATCTCCCAGGCCAAGCGATGGGGGAAAGCCGGGCACACACTACTTGCCCTCCTTCCTATCCCCCCGTCTGCAATGTCTTCCGTGGAGAAGGTTATGCTCTTCCAGAGATGCGTCATCACCGTGCTTCAGCCGCTTCTTGATGGCATGGCAAGGTTCGTACTCGGGTTGCATCTTGCTATGTCATCATCCAACCACCTGCAGAGTATGCAAAGCGCCTCTGTATGTTGCCTGCCCCAATGCCCATCTTTGTTCCTCCCTAAAAACCGTCCTCCGAATTCCTGTTGCCACTCTGCCTGTTCCATGCAGCGGGTTCCGACTCAGGGACCCTTTCGGTGATTGGCAAACCGTGCGGCCCCTGCTGTACGCCTGGGTGTGCGACTACCCCGAGAGCGGCAAGATCAGTTGCACACTCTCGCATGGATCGCGGATGCCGTGCAGCATCTGCTATGCTGCAAAGGTGAGGCAACATGGAATGTGCACGCATTCGGATACATTTTGGTTTTAGTGTGGCCTGATATAATCCATGTAGTTACCACCCTTACCTTCATATCCCATCCCTCATCCCCGTGCTACACCAGGAGCATCTGGGGGCTGTCAAGGCACGGAACACGCCGCGCACGCCTGAACAGCAGCAATGGATCGTTAACGAGGCGGCTGGGACGACAACTAGCCAGGACAACCCGTGCAAGACCTACTCTACCTACCCTGTTGAGGTGAGTGACGTGTTTTCGCGGCTAATGTGCCGTCTATGCACTCGCCCGCCCCATCATGAATTGCCAGATATGCTCTGCCCCATTGAACTCACCCCACATGTGGTTTATCCCAACTCACATGTACATTTCTCCTTCATTCCTTACCGCATCCCCATTTCCAGTGCGTGCTCTGGAAGTGGGATGTCCAGGGACCGCGTGGGGCAATCCCTACCTCGTGGTCATGCCTGACATCATGCACCAGGCGGACCTGGGCATCATGAGCCACATTGTGGCTGTCGTGCGCAAGATGAAGAAGCGGCGTGTGAAGCAGATGGACAGGTCAGTGTTTTGGGGATTGGATTCGTTGCTCTTGGTCACATTTACACAAAGTACAAGTACTGTCCTCTCCCTGACATGGTTCTGCCCTTGCGTTGAACTGGTGTGTATGGGCAGGCGCCTGTCCCTCATTCGCGACCGCACGCGCCTGAATCACATGCGCCTGTCGGAGAGCGCCTACTTCGAGACCGGAGCCTGTGTTGCGGCCTATGAGCACAGGGCCGTCATGCAGGTATGATAGCCCTGAATGTTAACGTCTTGTGCGATAGGCTGCACTCGATTGACACAGCACCTCGAATCCATGTTAAACCCACACACCCTGCTGCCTGCCCCCCAACCCCTCCATTCCCTATTGCTTGTCCTGACCGCCCCTCTACCAGTCTGCTCATGCTGCCACCCCTTTGTCCCTACTCCTCACACCATCTGTGCTCACCCTCCCCTGTGCTGCTATCCATAAACCTTGCAGTTCATGGTGTTTGTTTTTGCCGGCCTGCTTCGCCAGCTCAGATGGATGCCGTTCGTGCCTATCTTGGCTGGTACCTCCTGTGCTCCCAGCCACAGAGGCACACTGAGCGGTCCCTCCGGGAGCTGAAGAAGATGACCTCCCGGTACTAATACCATGCATGTAAACCCCTGCGCATGAGATGATTGCTTGGCTACTGTAAATGTGCTCTTGTAGTAGGCAATCTGTAAACGTTGGTACTAAACAAGTATAGGAAAGAATTAGGACCCGCTAAACAATATGAATAAGTAGACTCTGATGTGACTGCATGTGTTGTCATCTCCCACTCCCACCAGGCTCGTTGAGCAGTTGCAGGCTGCCTTCCCCAAGCAGCCATCCTCTTGGTGCCTTGTGAAAACACATCTCATGTCGCACTACATCGACTCCATTCGTCGCGCGGGTCATGTGACCGAATTCAGCACCAACATGTTCGAGCACTTGCACGGACCGTTGGTAAAGAGGATTTACCGTCGGTCCAACAAGCGCAATGTAGATGGGCAGATCATGAAGTTCCATGCTAGGCGCATTCCGGATGTGGTGCCGGTGGATGATCTTGCTGGCCGGGACATAGCCATGCGGCAGGTAAATATGTTTAGTGCTTGAATTACATGGATATGAATGCAGAGTGTAGTAATATCAATAGCATATGGTGGCAAGCAATTGAGACCGACACACGGACACTTATCAAGGATTCATACTTCCTCCCTGTGGAGTTACCAGAAATCCCCACCTCCACCAACTGGTTTGCAAGGAAATGGGTCAAGCAACACCCTGGTGCTCAAGCTGCCCTTAAGGATGCGCTTATACGTTATGCAGGATGCGTCACCAAGGTTCGAGTAAGTACGGTAGTTGATAGTTTATGCAATCAATCGTCATTTGGCTAGCTTGTATTATACATGACGAACATCCACTGTTATGCAGGCCCATGCATCGCTGGCAATCCCTGCAGCAGACGACGCCAGCTTCTCAAGAGTTTCTCACTTCGTTCGAGCGACCCCTGACTATTTTGAGCGGCCGTGGTACTCGGATGTTGCAGTGGAGGGTGTAAGGTATGGTCGGAGAGAGGAGTGGTATGCAAGGTTGCTTCTGTTGTTCCATACAAAAATACGTGGAGAGAGGGAGGAGCTGGCTTACGTTAGATATTGGAATGCAAGCGGAGAGGATGCTGCAACCGGATGCCTTCGCCTCAAGTGGACAACAGGAATGTACGCGTACTCTGCGATTCCGATTGAAGCGCTGCTCCGCCACGTCCATGTGGTGAAGGCGTTCCATCTGGACAGTACCTATCTCCTTAATAAGTATCAGATGTGATGCATTTATCTTGTAATAAAATGGCCAGCTTAGTTTTCCAGCATTCACATTTTACATTAGTCAATACTACAAAAACCAATTACAAATGGATCCCAAATTTGGCACGCTCCAAATAAACAACAATGTACCGGAGTCGCGGATTCGATTTCGACTCGGACAAACAAACGCGGTCCGATTTCATCCCGTGATTGGTCGCGATTTCGTTTCGGAACTTCGCCAACCAAAACACCCGAACTGTACCCCTCTCCAAACCCCCTTCAAAAACCAAGGTTTTTTGTGATGTGGAGGGCAGATTTCCTCTCTATTTGGCAGAACCCGAGAACCTTCCACCGCCCGCCATAAGTACCGGCAGGAGGGGGGGCGACACAGCCACGGGCTGGGTTGCCTGCCCCCTCCAGAATACAGTTACAACTGTGAATGTTGTTTTGCGTTTGTAATGCAGATCCATTAAAAAAAAAAAAAAAAAAAAAGGCCGCTCGCTTGCAGAAGTTGCTTCTGAGAACGTAAAATACTAAATACAACAATAACACTAACAAACTTACGCACAATATGTTTTCAAACATGTTCACTAGCTCTCCGCCATGGATTTTGTGAGGCTTATCAGAAGCCTCATTGTTCACGAAATTCCTATCATTAAGTGGTTCTGAGCACACTGATGCTTTTGTCGAAATAAGATTTAGTGATATACATAAAACTGTCCAGAATTGTATTCTTTATGTATCTGCATACAACATAGTTAGTATAGTATCACTGTAGAGTTATTTCTATTGGTAGTGTACCTATGCTTGCTATATCTTGTACCTGAGCTATAGTGAGAACCAGGGCCTCATATTCGTTTTTGCCTAGGTCGAATCGTCAGTGTTGTACCTGAAAAAAGGGCTGAAAACTCAGTGTCCTAGTTAACAGAAAGGCTGACTAATCAGCCTCACTTAAAAACTAAGGTTGAATAAAGCTAAAGACCATTTTCAATGAAGTGCTGTGGGTGAGGTGGGGTGGGGGGGTCCTTGACGTGGGGCCATGTGGTGCTTTGCTGTGCGTTGTTGTTCTGCACCGATGTGTTGGGAAAATTCGATTTCCCGCTGCATCACGCTTTAGATGGCAACTTCGGCGTGATCGACGGGGGATGTACCTAGACAGCCGAAACTCAAGGCTCCTACACGAATCAGTAATAGCACGTTTTCAGCCTACATCCTCGTTAGTACGCTGGTGAATCAGCGTACAGTTGTAAAAAAATCGCTGAAATATCGGCCCATACACTAAAAACAAAAAAAACTGAACTATCAGCCCATACATTATAAGTCTTATAAATGGACAAAGAACCATTTACAAGGTACCTCCTCGTTATACTATTACCCCTCAACACTGACTTAACTCGTACACACAATTAGGTGTCTTATAATGTGGCTACCCCATTCATAAGAGATACCCGGATAGTAGACACCCCCTGTCTTCTATTCAACACTGTCTTATATCCGGGTGATGACGGTATATCTTGTACCTTAGCTATAGTGAGAACCTTTCTTTTTTTCTCTCGCTAATCTTCCTCACCAATCTAGCCTAGGGTTCCTAAGATTGGGGTCACTTCAACAAAAATCCGAGTTTTTGCTTTCCGAATAAACTGATAATACGAGTGCCTTTGGGTCCTGGATGAGCCTCATACTCACTGCTCCTACAGTGAAATTGCCGCCTGCAGATGCAATGAGCAAGCGGGGTAGAAAGTGGAGCACACAAGGGTTGTGAATCATTGAGGAACAGACGCTATCCAGCTGCAACCATTGCATCAAATGTAGCAATGCACTCAAACTGCCCCATGCAGGCTCACTTATGAGGTGCACGCGATATGGCGCATGCAGCGAGGCCCATGCACTAAGGCACATGTAGTACGGTGCACGCAGTAAGGTGCATAAAGTAAGGGCACACAATAAGGTATGTGGTGATCTTGAAATCCACCCTGATCGTTGCTTTGTTTCTCTTGACTGGTCTTGTGACCCTTTGTTTCCTTTGCTTGTTTTGATGCCCCTCACTTAGCCTATTGGGGTGTGTCAAATGTAATACATTATGTTGATAGGCTATAGTGAGTAGGGCTGTAGGAGGTACAACACTTTCCAGGTTTAGCTTTTGTATCTCCCATCTTGCCATCATGACCGTTTTCAGCTTGTTTTGTTTTGTTTTGTTTGTTTCTTTTTTTATCAATACTGACTGATCAATGTCCCATGAAATGAATCTGGGGGCCTGACGCATGGGGTAAAAAGAGTTAAAAAACTGATGTGCGGAAAAAAGGGATGCGCCTATACCCAGGGAATCGTGGTACTCTAGTAAAATTACCCTTGTTTCAAACCAATAACATTCCCCAAGCATTTTTCCACTTTCTACCCCAACCCCCCCTATTGTGCTACAACAAGACACTGCAGCTACAACACTGCACCTAGTTCCCGTACCACATGGACCTCATCCTGAGATCCCAGTACAAATTATCACTGGTCCTGGGAATTTGTGATTCAGAAGGGGAAAGAGGGGAGTGGGGAGGAGGGAAAGAATGAGTGACAAGGGGAGGGAAACAAGTGAAAGGCAGTGGGTGCACACAATGTAAGCAGTGGAAAGCAGCTGGAGCAAGTGTGGATTGGATATCTGGGCATACTCACAATATGACATATGTGAAGTAACAAGATGTTGGTAAATCCCCCGAATATAGAAGTTCCCCTGTACAATTTTCGCCGCTCCAGTATTTGTTCTTGCTGAACCTCGGTGTGCCGTCAGCTATGTAGTACACGTAGGATTGTCTCGTATAGTTGCCAATCCTCTCCTTAGGAACCTCTGTGCACCCATTGAGGTTGGCACGAACAGTCTACGGGCGAGATCCCCCGTCTCTTACTCTGTCGGTGTCGAACGTTATACTAGCTGATCCCACCGTAGACTTGCCCCCTGGATAATGTGTGGTGTAAACGGCAAACGGAGCGGCAAGTGGGGCACAGTTGGCTGCGAATGCACTGCGCCTGAATGCCGGGCCTCTGGCAGGAATTTGAGGCAATGAAATGCGGATGGTGTCTTGCTTTAACCACCATAGCACATCTAGCAGTGCACTCAAGCTGCTCCATGCAAGCCCAAAATTGAGGCGCATGCTTGGGTCATCCAATACGCGACAGAATACATGCCAAGCAACAAGCCACATGCAATAACGCACCGTGCTCAGTGAAGTGGTATCTTACCTTTAATGCAAGTGTCTGGGGTCATTCCATAGCCGGCAGGACACACACAGAACGGAACACGGACCGTCTTGCCATTGCTATTCGTAGCAAGTGCGATATTGCAAGTGGCTCCAGAGGGGCACCTGCCACATGGCGGGTCTGGGAGAGGCAGTAGAGGCAATAGAGGGTGTTGCAGTGCAGTTTCAATAAAGTTGGGCAAGAATTGGAAGCACCTTTGATTTGAAAACAACGGCAGGCAGTAAGTAGCAATGCAGTTAGTGAGGGATTGAAAACAAATCAGCACAAAATCAAACCATGCCGTGACAGGCGCATGTGGGTCACACCATGCTGGAACATGCCCCATCCAGTGCTGCTCACCCCGATTGACAAAAGACTCATATTGTGCTGCTAACCCCATTCACAATATAGACATCCAGTGCTGCTCACCCCATTTACAATAGAGCCATCCCGTTTCATTCTTCACACAAGTCCCACCCGGCGAGCATCCTAAAGCAAAGCATTCAGAATTTGAAACACAGAGATGAGAGCACAACAGTTGTGATGAGTGCAGATAACGAAGGAGAGATGAGAAGTTACAATGGGAAAGGGTACGAGGAATATGAAAACGAAAAATACTGCAGCAAAGGAGTACCTTTCGGCACAAGAGCACACTTGAGAACAGGAGCACAAGAGCATCATTGAAAGACCGGGTTCAAAAGCAAGGGACGGCCTCTTTGTTGCACCTCTCCAACTCACCAATGTAAGAGAGCTTGTCAAAAGATGGCGTGAAGCCAGTGCTGCAAGTACAGGATGGATTTCCGCTCGCATCCCTCGTGCAGTTGCCGCTAGGCCCACACTTCACCACATTACAGTTGTCTGCAGAAAAAGAGATGAATGCAAGTGGAAGAAGATCATGATATTAGAAAACAATAATGCCTGGATCTTGAGAATCAAGGTTCACAGAGCTGAATACGCTTTCAACTCAGTAACTCTTGCATAAAAAATGAGCTGAAGGGAGGCAAGTTTTAAGGATTGGGGTTGATACGGAAAAGTTACGCCATCCGTGTCCGTGTTGCACCTCTCCAACTAATCAATGCAAGAGAGCTTGTTAGAAGACGGCGTGAAGCCATCCCTGCAACTACATGATGGATCTCCATTTGCATCCCTCGTGCAGTTACCGCCAGGCCGTAGACTGGCCGCTGGAGGCTCCACTGGGTACCTGCAGGAAACGACCTAGTGAAGCCAGGTGCACGGCGCAGCTAGATCTCCTCGTGCAGGCTGCCCTGTAAGAAAGCTGTGCTGAAGTCAAGAGAGTGAAGCTCGTAGTCACGCTGAGTGGCAACGTGTAGCAACACCCGAAGGGTGGTCATCTTCGGGTAAGGGGAGAAGGTCTGGAAGAAGTGCACTCCCTATCGCTGACTGAAGCCTCGTGCAACGTAATGAGCCTTGAAGACAGGCGGAGAACCCGGCGGCCACTTCACCCTGAAAATCCACATGCCATCGACAATGTTCGCCCCAGGAGGGGGAACTGTGTCGACGTAAGTGCCTGTGGACTTCCAGGATGCCATCTCTGTGTCCATGGCTGTCTGCCACTGAGAGGAGTAGGGACCCGTAATCGCCTCTGCGTAAGAGCGCGGGGTCGGGATGTCCAGTGCATCCGGGTCTCACTTAGGTGCAAGCAGCATGGCCACGAGATGAGGTACAGCAGTCGCAAGACACTCGAAGTCCTCCTGCCTGTCCTCAAGAACGTCCGTGCCAAGAGCACATTCACCCCCGACGGACGGAGGACAGTCAGACTCAGACTCAGCAACAAGACTAGCGGCGTAGTCAAGACGACACGCAGCAGCAAAGTCAACAAGCTCAGCAACTACGGCAGACACATCAGTGGACTCAAACGAAGGGTCTGTGACAGAAGTGGCTAGGAGACGTGAGTTAATAGGGCTGGCAGCACGAACCAAGTCAGACTCAAAGTCCGGAACGTGTGAAAGAGAGGACGCAGGAGGAGACGGCAGGGGGACACGCTGTGGAACAGAGGAAGGACAAAGTGCCATAGGGTGAGTGCCGGGGACAGAGGACGCGGAAGAGGAACACGGCGACCAGTGCAAGCAGCGCGAACAGGCGAGGCAAGACGAGACGCAGGCTCACGACGCTCTGTAAGAGAGTCTGACTGCTCAGTGTAAGGAGAAGGAGCAGATAGTAAGGAGTCTGGCTGTAACTGTGGCTGCGACTGGTCAAGCGGTGGACACAGGAAAGGTGGAGTAAGGCCAGTGGAAGACGGAAGACTAAGAACCTGGCGAAGAACCAAGTCAGGCGGCGGCAGAGACGACGACGGCGGCAGAACAAAAAACGGTCGCTGCTGTGCAGTACCACTAGCTCCAGCACCTCCAGTGCCTCCAGCTCCAGCGCCTCCAGCTCTAGCGCCTCCAGGTCCAGCACCTCCAGCTCCCGGGTCACCAGCTCCAGCTCCTCCAGCTCCTACGCCTCCAGCTCCAGTGCCTCCAGCTCCAGTGTCTCCAGCTCCAGAGCCCGCAGCACCACCAGCTCCGGCAGCTCCAGTACCTCCAATACGAGCACCTTTGAGACCAGCAGCTCCAGCTCCTCCGGTACCTCCAGCTCCAGTGCCGCCAGCACCAGCAGTACTGTCAAACTATATATGCTGTGTTATATTGTGTAGGCTGTAGTGGGGTAGCCAATATGGGGTACAACCCCTTTAGGGTTTCACATTTGCACCCTTTAGGGCTGCCCCGCGCGCCGCGTCCGCCGCCCTAGCGCGGCCTGGCGCTGCCCCGCGCGCTGCCTCAGCCGCTCGCGCAGCCCGCGGCTGCCCCGAGTGCAGCCTCAGCTGCCCTTGCGCGGCCCGCTTCTTCCGCGCGCGCTGCCTCCGCCGCTTGCGCAGCCGCGGCTGCCTCGTGCGCCGCCTTACCTGGCCGCGCGCCATCCTACTCTGGCCGCGAGCCGCCCTTCCCTGACCGTGCACAGCCTTGACTTACCCTAGTGCCTCCTCGCCTCCCTTCCTTCCCTACGGCCTGCCTTGCTGGTCGGATGACTTCTCTTCACGGCCTTCTCGGCATCGGTGAGAGCGGTGGTGGCGGTGGCGTCCGTAGTGGTAGTCACTCTCGAGGTGTTCGGTGCGGAGTTTCTGGCAGCGGCCAGATGCAGCTGCAGCGATGTCCGAGCGAGACCCTTACACCCACGCAGCTTCGTGAGTGGTACGCTCGTAGGTGTGGTGGTGGTGGCAGTAGTAGCAGTCCCGGTGCAGCTAGTCAGTTGGGAGTTTCTGGCGGTGGCCTGGTGCAGTTGCAGCGACGTCCGAGCGAGACCCTTCTGCCCAAGCAGCTTCGTGAGTGGTACGCTCGTAGATGTGGTGGCGGCGGTAGTAGTGGCAGTCGCGGTGCGGCTAGTCAGTTGGGAGTTTCTTGCGGGGGCCTGGTGCAGCTGCAGCGGCGTCCGAGCGAGACCCTTACGCGCCAGCAGCTTCATGAGTGGTACGCTCAGAGTGGGGGGTCTAGGAGTCCTACCCGCTGCCGGTACGTCATTCGCACAGGTGATCGGGCTGGTCAGACTTGCGGGACGCTCTCTCACACACAGGCTCGCTGCTTCGCCCGTCTGAGTGACGCCTGGCGTGCTGTGTTTGCGACGAGGCTGAGCTCCCCCCCTGGCTAGAGCTGCTGCGCAACAAGGTGGATATCTTTGCTCTAGACTATGACACTATCCTTACTGCCATGTATGCTCTGACTGGTACTACTGAGGGTGACTGTTACCTGTGTGTGCCCCCTGACCCTGGTATAGCGGCTGCTGCTCTAGGTGCTGGTGAGTCTGCTCTCCCTGGTACTGCGTCGGCTCAGGCCTTGCACACCTTTACACTTGACTCTGGTGCTTCCCGCTGTTTCTTTCGCGACAGTACCACAATGACTCCCCTCCCTGCACCTGTCCTTGTCTCACTGGCTGATCCCTCTGAAAGCCCAGTGCTTGCACGGTCCACTACTGTGCTTCCGTGTCGGGCAGTCTCGTCCGGTGAGCTGTCAGGTCTCCACCTCCCCTCGTTCTCTATGAACCTGGTGAGCACCGCCGTTTTTCAGGATCACTGGGTTGACACCTTTACTCCTGGAGGACAGCGTGTGACGCACTGCACGTGCTCTCGGACTGGCCGCCACCTGGCCACGTTCACACGTGCGCCTGGGTCCAGTCTGTACACCCTCACCGCTGTGTCGCGCTACGCCCCTTTGTCTCCTCAGCTGTACGCGTCTGCTCAGGTAGCTACCCAGTGTGAGTGTCGCCGCCTGTCGCACGACACTCTCCTCTAGCACCACCGCCTTGGTCACCCCTCCCTGCCCCGCCTTCGTGGCATGCACTCTCGCCTACTGGTCTCTGGTCTTCCCAGGTCTCTGCCCGCCCTCCCTCCCTCGCCTGCGCCGCCCTGCATTCCTTGCGTCGAGGGGCGGCAGCGCGCCGCTCCTCACTCCTCCTCGTTCCCTCCCACAGAGGATCCACTGCAGACTCTCCATATGGACGTGTGGGGCCCAGCCCGCATCCAGGGGCAGGGCCGCGAGCGGTACTTCCTGCTGGTTGTCGACGACTACACGCGTTACACCACGGTTTTCCCCTTGCGCAGCAAGGGCGATGTCCCTGCTATTTTGATCCCTTGGATCCGCGCTGTTTGTCTCCAGCTCCGCGAGCGGTTCCGGTCGGACTTTCCTGTCCTGCGTCTGCACTCTGACAGAGGTGGTGAGTTCACCTCCGACCTCTTGCGAGCCTTCTGTGAGGAGCACGGCATCTGCCAGTCGTTCACGCTTCCGGCCTCTCCGCAGCAGAATGGGGTTGCTGAGCGCCGCATTGGCTTAGTCATGGAGGTCGCTCGTACCTCCATGATCCATGCGGCTGCCCCCCATTTTCTGTGGCCGTTTGTGGTCCGGTACGCCGCACATCAGCTCAACCTCTGGCCCCGTGTCTCCGTGCCGGAGACTTCGCCCACACTACGTTGGACGGGGGAGGTTGGCGATGCGTCGCGTTTCCGGGTCTGGGGTGCTCGTGCCTTTGTCCGCGATCTCACCGCGGACAAGCTCTCTGCTCGCGTGATTCCCTGTGTCTTCCTTGGCTTTCCCACTGACGCGCCTGGCTGGCAGTTTTACGACCCCGCCTCGCGCCGTGTCTTTGCATCTCAGGACGTCACCTTTGACGAGTCGGTTCCCTTCTACCGCCTCTTTCCCTACCGCACTGCCCCTCTCCCCCCCCCCCCCCCCCGCCGCTCTTTCTCGCTCCAGGTCCTCCTCAGGTAGAAATCCTCCCCGCTCCAGGTCCTGCTCCTTCAGGTGTGTCTCAGGTAGACCCTCCTCCCTTGACTGAGCCGGTTGAGGTCACTGGTGGCTTAGGTCCTGCTGGGGGTGGTCCTGCTCGGGGTGCTACTTCTAGGGGTGCTGAGCCTGGGGGTGCGGAGCCTGGAGGTGCTGAGCCTGAGCGTGAGGAGCCTGGGGGTGCTGAGCCTGAGGGTGCGGAGCCAAGAGGTGCTGAGCCTGGGCGTGTGGAGTGAGCCTGAGGGTGCTGAGCCTGGGGGTACTGAGTCTGGGGGTGCTGCGCCTGGGGGTACTGAGGCGCCTGGTGAGCAGTCTCCTTGGAGCGGCCGCCTCCGTAGTCGCTCCGCTGGTGCCTCGCCGCAACCCTCTCGTCGGCGTGTCCCTTTCTCCACACAGCAGCTACGTGAGTGGTATGTTAGCCGTCAGGGTCGCGCAGCTAGAGCTAGGGGCCCTGCTGCGGGAGGCGCTGGCGTTGGAGGCACTGGAGCTGGCGCTGTCCCTCTCTCCCCACAGCAGCTGCGTGAGTGGTACGTTAGCCGTCACGGTCGCGCTGCTGGAGCTGGTGCCTCTGCTACTGGAGGCGTTTCTGCTGACGTGACTGGAGCTGGGGGTGCCGGTTCAGGGGGTGCTGAGTCTGAGCGTGCTGAGCGTGGCGGTACTTTGTATACTGGAGCTACTAAAGCCGCTGGTCTCGGAGGTGCTCGTACTGGAGGTACTGGAGCTGCTGGGGCTGGAGGTACTGCTGGACCTGGAGGTGCTGCTGTCGACACTGAGGCTGGAGACCCTGGGGCTGGAGGTGCCGGTTCTGGGGGTGCTGCTACTGGTCGCGCTAGTACTGGAGGTGTTGGAGCTGGAGGTTCTGGAGCTGCTGGAGGTGCTGGCGCTGGAGGCGCTGGAGCTGGAGGTTCTAGAGCTGCTGGAGGTGCTGGTACTGGAGGTGCTGGCGCTGGAGGTTCTGGAGCTGCTGGAGGTGCTGGCGCTGGAGGCGCTGGAGCTGGAGGTTCTGGAGCTGCTGGAGGCGCTGGAGCTGGAGGCACTGGCGCTGGAGGTTCTGGAGCTGTTGGAGGTGCTGGCGCTGGAGGCGCTGGAGCTGGAGGTTCTAGCTGCTGCTCACTTTGCTGCTGCTTGTCGTCAGTGTGACGGTTCTGGAGCTGTTGGAGGTGCCTGCGCTGGAGGCGCTGGAGCTGGAGGTTCTAGCTGACTCACTTTGCTGCTGCTTGTCGTCTCGACTACGCCGCTAGTCTTGTTGCTGAGTCTGACTCTGTCTGTCCTCCGTCCGTCGGGGGTGAGTGTGCTCTTGGCACGGACGTTCTTGAGGACAGACAGGAGGACTTTGAGTGTCTTGCAGCCGCTGCGCCTCATCTCGTGACCCGAATGCACCAGACATCCCGACCCCGCGCTCTTATGCTGAGGCGATCGCGGGTGAGTACTCCTCTCAGTGGCAGACAGCCATGGACGCAGAGATGGCATCCTAGAAATCCATAGGCACTTATGTGGGGCGAACATCGTCGATGGCATGTGGATTTTCAGGGTGAAGCGGCCGCCAGGTTCTCCGCCTGTCTTTAAGGCTCGCTACGTTGCTAGAGGCTTCAGTCAGCGTGAGGGAGTTGACTTCTTCCAGACCTTCTCCCCCACCCCGAAGATGACCACTCTTCGGGTGCTGCTGCACGTTGCCACTCAGCGCGACTACGAGCTTCACTCTCTTGACTTCAGCACAGCCTTCTTATAGGGCAGCCTGCACGAGGAGATCTGGCTGCGCTGCCCACCTGGCTTCACTGGGTCGTTTCCTCCTGGTACCCAGTGGAGCCTCCGGCGGCCAGTCTACGGTCTCCGCCAGGCGCCTCGTGAGTGGCACGACACACTGAGGACTACACTTGCAGCTCTTGGGTTTGCTCCTTCGACTGCAGACCCGTCGCTGTTTCTGCGCACAGACACGTCGCTGCCACCGTTCTACATCCTCGTGTACGTCGACGACTTGGTCTTTGCCACTGCTAACACTGAGGCTCTCACCATGGTGAAGACGGAGCTGCAGAAGAGACACACGTGCACAGACCTGGGTGAGCTGCGCAGTTACCTTGGCTTGCAGATCACCCGGGACCGAGCACGTCGCACCATCACACTGACTCAGTCACACATGGTGCAGCAGGTCCTTCAGCGCTTCGGCTTCACCTGGTCCTTTTATAGTTTACTCCTCTGGCTATAGGTCACTCGCTCTCAGCTCCACCTTCGGACGAGTCCGTAGAGCCGAGTGGTCCTTACCCAGAGCTAGTGGGCTGCCTCATGTACCTGATGACTTGCACTTGTCCTGACCTTGCGTACCCTCTTGGCCTTCTGGCACGCTACGTGGCTCCTGGTCGGCACCGAAAGGTGCACATGGATGTTGCGAAGAGGGTATTGCGCTACCTGTGCAGTACATCGGGCATGGGGCTCGTGCTTGGAGGACGGGGTGACATTGTCCTCACTGGACACTCTGACGCGTCTTGGGTTGACGACCTGGCTACGCAGCGGTCGTCACAAGGTTACACCTTCAACCTTGGCTCCGGCTCTGTTTCTTGGCGGTCTACTCGCTCTTCTTCTGTTCTCAGCTCCAGTTGTGAGGCTGAGATCTACGCCACAGCCATGGCTGCACAGGAGTTACGCTGGCTCACCTACCTGCTGACCGACTTGGGAGAGAGGCCTCGTTCTCCTCCAGTTCTGTACGTCGACAACAAGGCCGCCATTGCCTTGTGTGAGGAGCATAGACTGGAGCACAAAACGAAGCACATTGCTCTGCGTTACTTCCTGGCTCGAGAGTTGCAGCAGCGTGGTCAGCTTCGTCTTACTCACGTGGCCATTCGGGCCAACACTGCTGATATATTCACCAAGACACTTCCGTCTGGTGATCATCAGCGCTTTTGTACTTTGTTAGGCCTTGTGCCTATAATTCTGCACTTGCTGTAGACTTTGCTTGTACTGTGATCTCTATATATATACCTGCATTCTTGCTTTTGCTATGTAGTGATCACTGTGCTATTGTTGTTGCATATATACCTTTGCATGTGAACTGGCCTTGTGGCCCTTTGCTTGTGCTCAGTGTGTGTGGTGATGTTGTGATCCACCCTGAGCTTGCTTTGCTTTTCTTGACTGGTCTTGTGACCCTTTGCTCTCCCCCACTTTGCCTATGGGGGTGTGTCAAACTATATATGCTGTGTTATATTGTGTAGGCTGTAGTGGGGTAGCCAATATGGGGTACAACCCCTTTAGGGTTTCACATTTGTACCCAACTCTGACATAGTTCATCCATTCCTGCCTAGACTTTCTTACAAGTACCTCTAGCACCTCCAGGACTAGTAGCTCCAGCGCCTCTAGCTCCTGCGCCTCCAGCAGTAGTGCCTCCAGCGGCAGGGCCTCCAGCTCCTGCAGCGTCTCTCCGAAGGCGGGTGCGCCCAGCAAACCACTCGCGACGAGGTACCCGGAGGACCTGCAATAGGCGCAGTACCCCTAGGCTCAGCACCCCCAGACTCAGCACCCCCAGGCTCCGCACCCGCAGGCTCAGCACCCCAAGGCTCCGCACCCCCAGGCTCAACACCCCCAGGCTCCGCACTCACACGCAGGCTCAGCACCTCCAGGCTCCGCACCCTCAGGCTCAGCACCCCCAGGCTCCGCACCCTCAGGCTCAGCACCCCCAAGCTCCGCACCCTCAGGCTCAGCACCCCCAGGCTCCGCACCCCCAGGCTCAGCACCCCCAGACGCAACACCACCAGCAGCACCACCACCAGCAGCACCAGAGTCGTTAATGACCTCGACAGGCTCCGCCAGGGGAAGTGGGTCTACCTGTGACAAACCTGAAGGAGCAGGACCCTGAGGGGGAGGGGGTCTACCGAAGGGGTACCTGGAGCGAGGAACAGCGGCGGGGGGGGGGGAGAGGGGCAGTGCGGTAGGGGAAGAGATGGTAAAAGTGAACTGACTTGTCAAACGTGACGTCCTAAGAGGACAGAACACGGCATGATGTGGGGCGGTAAAACTGCCAGCCAGGTGCGTCAAGGGGAAGCCAAGGAAGACACAAGGAATGGTGCGGGAGGAGAGCTTGTCCGCGGAGGTATCGCGGACAAAGGCACGAGCGCCCCAGACCCGGAACACTGACGCATCGCCAACCTCCCCCGTCCAAAACAGTGTAGGCGAGGTCTCCGGCAAGGAGACACGGGGCCAGAGGTTGAGCTGATGCGCCGCGTACCGGACCACAAGCAAGGGCGGGTTGGGGGGCAGAGACCTGGGAAGACCAGAGACAAGGAGGCGGGAGTGCATGCCACAGAGGTGTGGCAGGGAGGGGTGACCAAGGCGGTGGTGCCAAAGGAGAGTCTGGTGCGAGAGGAGGCGACACGAGCAGGGGGCTGCTACCTGACCTGACGCGGACACCTGACCAGACGCAGCCACCTGAGTAGGCTCAGTAGTCAGTGGGTACAGCCTCGACCCCGGCCGACGGGTGAACGTGGCCAGGTGACGGCCCGTCCGTGTACACGTGCAAATCGCCACACGCTGACCCCCAAGAGTGTTGGTAGTGACCATCGCATCCTGGAGGGCAGCGGTACTCACCAAGTTCGTAGAGAACGAGGGGAGGTGAAGACCTGACAGTGAGCCAGACGGAACCGCCGGACACGGGAGAACAGTGGAGGAACGTGCAAGAACCGGGCCCCCTGAGGGGTCAGCCAGAGAGACTGCAACAGGTGCAGTGAGTGGTGTGACTGTGGTACTGTCGCGAAAGAAACAGCGGGAAGCACCTGAGTCAAGCGTGAAGGTGTGCAAGGCCTCAGCAAGCGCAGTACCAGAGAGAGCAGACTCACTAGCACCTAGAGTAGCAGCCTCTATACCTTGGTCGGGCGTCACAGACAGGTAACGGTCACCTTCACCACTAACAGTAGCGTCACTCCGAAGGCGGGTGCGCTGAGCAAACCACTCACGAAGTTGCTGGGGCGTAAGGGTCTCTCGCGGACGCTACTGCAGCTGCCTCAAGCCACCGCGAGAACCTCCCCTCTGAACGGCTCCACCCCGACCGCCACCACTGCCGCCGCCACCACTCCCACTGCTGCCACCACCGCCGCCACCACTCCCACCGCTGCCACCATCGCCGCCACCGAAGCCTCCACGACCACCACCCCCACCGCCGCCACCGCCACCTCCACCGCCTCCAACGCCTCCACCACCTTCTCTACCGCCTCCACCCCCACCACTATGGCCCCCCTTGCCCTTGCCGCCGCGGTGCCTCCCACTAGGAGCAGACGCAGCCCCGACCTCCTCAGCACCAAGGAAGTCAACAGCAGCAGCAAAAGCGACAAAGGGGGCAAGGGGGGAGGGGGAACACCCCTCAAAGAAGGGAGTGCGAGGAGTGCCACGAGACTATGCTAGTCTCAGCTGCAAGGAGGTGCTTCTCGAGCAGGTCGACAGTGAGGTCTGTGGGGTCAAGGGCGAGAAAGTGGTCCCTGACTGCGCGAAGAGAGTCAGGGAGGCGTGCGACTATGAAGTAGAGAGTGATGTACTTCGGGGCCTGGTTCTTGTCTAGGAACTCGACTTTAAGCGTTGTGTGGTAGCGAGTGTCGCTAGTGCGAAGGTGGGTGATGAGGTCATCGACTGTGGCAAAGGCCGACAGTTCGCGAAAGAGGTAGGGCAGTATAAGGCGGCCGAGAGCAGCAGTGGCAGGGGAGGAGTAACGAGTAACTACAACGTCGAACAGGGCTTTAGCAGTAGTGAGCTGGCCAAAGTGAGCGCGTTCGGCTAACGGCAGGTGGTTGCGAACGGCTGGGCAAGCAGCAGCGTCACGGATAAGCCACTATGAGCGAGTCGCACTGTCAGCTGTGTCGGGAGGAGCGAGAGAGGCTCCAGACGTGTGATCAAACAACGAGACGCCATCTTTAGAATCGCCCAGTAGGCACACCTGTAAGTCGTCGAGCCATTTATCAAACTGGATTGGACGGCCCTCGGGATTGAAAGTGAGAACGCTGAGGGTAGCCATAGCTAGCAGAGCAGGGTGGCGCGTGACCAGCAGGGTAGCACGCAGGTAAGGCAGAGCGTCGCGCAGGCAGCAGGACAGCGCGACGGGCAGGGCAGCGCGCGGGCACTAGGGAAGCGCGCAAGGCAGGGCAAGGCGATGCACGGCCAGGGAAGGGCTGCGCGCGGGCAGGGCAGGGCGTGCGCGGGCGGCGCGACGCAGGGCAGGGCGTGCGCGGG